CAGAATCTTAAGCAGTGCAGAACCCGATGCGGGGCTCGATCCCACAACCCTGGGATCATGACCTAAGCCAAAATTAAGAGTTGGAGATGCTCAACCGACTGAGCCACCCAGGTGCCCCTCTATGTTTTTTAAAACGAATTTACTTTTCTTAAAAAAATCAAGGTCACTTCAAAGCATCTGTCTTTTCATCTGTATTGGTTTTAAATTAATTTTATTTCAATATTTCATCGTATTTGGGGGCAGGGAGGATCTTCAGAGATGAGCTCTGTTTGAACGAATTTTAAATACCTATGGAACAACAAAATGGAGGTGTCCAGAAAACAATGGTTTTAGTTTCTTTCTTTCTTTTTTCAGTTGGGGAAATTCAGAAATAAGGTGGTTTTTTTTTTTTTTTTAATTTTTTTCTGAATCGCTACATTATTTTGGGGACAGAGAGGAGGACAGGAGCAATGAACGGGGGGGAGGCAGAGAGAGGGAGACACAGCGAATCGTAAACAGGCTCCAGGTCCGTCGAGCCCAGAACTAGAGCTCCGACGCTGCGGCTCAACTCACGGACTCATGAGATCGACGATCGGCTGAAGTCGGACGCTTAACCGACTGCGCCACCCAGGCGCCCCAAAATAAGGTGGTTTTGAAGAGACATACTGAATTTTAGTTGCCTTTGAGACAACCAAGAAGAGACACCCAGTAGATAACTACAAAAGGCTTTAATAGTGTGAAAAAGGAATTCTCAGCCAGATGCAGATACAGGAATCAACATATAGTCAAAGAAAATGGGACCAGATAAGATCAGTTAGGGAGAAAAGAGGGTTGAAGGCAAAATTCAGAGAGTCTTAAACATTAAAGGGCATGTCCAAGAGAGAGGAACTTACAGGAACCAAGTGGAAAAAAGCAAACAGAGGGACAGAGTAAAAAGATGACTGTGACTACACAGAAACCAAGAAAAAAGAAAGCATTGCCAGGAGGAAAGTGAAACACTTGGCATATGCTGAAGAAAGATAAAGAAACAGCAAATAAAAATTCACTTTATGCCATTTAAAATTAATCTTTTTGAGCATGTATCATCCAACGCCTTTAAATTAGGGCTCTTCCGGGGGTGCCTAGGTGGCTCAGTGGGTTAAGTGTCTGACGCTTGATTTTGGTTCAGGTCATGATCTCATAGTTTTGAGATCAAGCCCAAGTCAGCCGCCATGCTGGGCATGGAGCCTGCTTAAGATTTTCTCTCTCCCTTTCCTTCTGCCTCTCCCCCACTTGCTCTTGCATGCTCTCATTCACATGCACTCTTTCTCAAAAAAATTAAAAAATTTAAAAACAATAAATTAGGGCTCTTTCATGCCAATCAGCATCGTTTAAGATCAGTCATATCAATCACTATTACCATCACCCCCAAACCAAAATCAAAAAGATCTTCAATAGGAAGGAGATTCAAGATCATTCCTATTCCATTCAGAGGTTTCACTCCCTTAAGTCTTTGGAAAGGCTAAGAATTCTTGCTTTACAATCACTAATTAAATGTCAAATCTAGTACCAAACACACCTCTTAATTTTTCTCCAACACTGCCATTCCAAGGACTTTCCTTGAGCAAATTTGCCGAACGTGAATAAATATCTGTGGCATGAGGCAACAAGAGCTGAAGGTGTTTATGAAGCAATGCCACGCTGCTTGAGTTCTAGGGGAGAAAAGTTCCTATATTACTACTGTAAAACATTCAAGGTACAGAAATATCATAGTTTACCCAAATATCTGAGTTTCAAGGTCCCTGAGAGATCATCATAAAAGGCAAACAATCACATACCTCACTAATGTTATTGATATGGCAAAATGCCAGCAGTTGTTTCTGCAGTGAACACAGGAGTTCATGAAGATGAGCAGGCTGACTGTTTTCCGAAGATGATGTTCCAAGTAGAAATTTATCACTATTCTTTTCTAGCTCTCCAAATGCTTGATCCTAAGATGATACATAAAAGAAGATTAAATCCGAAGTACTTAAAAATAAAAGTAATGTCCTACCATAAATGATTGACTTAAGAAGCCACTGTCTCCTTTCTCCCGTTATCAATCTTTAAATCTTTGCGCTATTGTTCTTAGCTATTAGATAGCAAGATTTGTCAAGCAATTTCAATTTGTTTTACTGTTTAAACAAAAGTAATGCGCATTTCACCAAAGAAACTTTGAAAATTGAGAAAACCATATAAGATCCACAAACATATTTCAACATCTTAATGCTGTTGCTTTCCATACCTCTTGTGTAAAAGTTTTGTTTCCACATACTGTGAAATGACACAAATGAACACCTGAACACAATTATTCAAAATTAAATTAGGTTATGATTATAAAAAAATAAATGATTTCAACTATACTGAAAAAGTAGGCAGAAAAAAAAAGAAATGGACTAAAGAGACATAACAACTAAATATAGTGTGATCCTGGATTGGGAGAAGGGGTTGCTATAAACACATTATTGCGACACTTATACAAATCTGAATATGGATTGTATATTAGATAATAGTTCTGTATCAATGTTAAATTTTCTGAATTCAGTAATTGTTCTGCTGTTATGCAAAAGAATACCCTTCTTAAGAAATACATGCTTACGTGCTTAAGAATAGCCAGGAGGGCATTTATAACTTACTCTCAAACTATTTAGAAAGATAGAGAGATAGATAGATAAATAGATAGATAGCTAGATAGATAGATAGATGAAGCTAATTTAGCTAAAGGGTAGAAGGGATTCTTTGATTCTTGAAAGTCGTATATAAGTTTTAAATTAGTTCAAGCTAAAAATATTTTTTTAAAAATTGTTCCTGTAGAGGTGCATGGGTGGCTCAGTCAGTTAAGCGTCTGACTTTGGTTCATGGTCCATGGGTTCAAACCCCACATCAGGCTCTGCACTGACAGCTCAGAGCCTAGAGCCTGCTTCGGATTCTGTCTCCCTCTCTCTGCCCCTCCCCTGCTCACACTGTCTCCGTCTCTCTCTCAAAAATAAACATTAAAAAATAAATAAATAAATAGATAAATAAATAAATAACTGTTCTTGTATAAAATTTAGAAAATACCAAAACTGTATTTTAAAAAATAAGTTAATTAGCCAACACCCAAAGAAAACTCACTATTAATATTTTTTAGTGTATTTCTTTCCTGATTTTTGTGACTATTTCATTTTTTTCACAATACTGCATATTCTATGTTTAGACTTCTCTTTTCCAGCAGATTCACAAATATTTTGTTTTCAGAAGCCACGGTTATATAAATTTTAAAAGTCATAATATTCCCTTGAGCATATATACCGTAATTTACCACCCATTTTAGATATTTAAGTTGTTTCCAAGTTTTATTTCTTATAATCATGTGATGAACATCTTTATGCATGAAGTATGGTCGATGTGTACAATATCCAAGACAGAGTCTCAGAACATTTTAAGGCCCTTGCTATATAAGCACCATTATAAGCTGCCAAATAAGTACTGCTATAGACTGAATGTTTGTGTCCCCTCAAAATTCATACATTGAAACCCAATCCTCAGTGTGGTGGTATTTGGAGATGGGGCCTTTGGGAAGGGATTAGTGCCCATATGAAAAAGACCCCAGAGAGCTCCGTTGTGTGAGGACACAGCAAGAAGATGGCCCAAGAAGCTAGTCGCATCAAATTTGCCAGCACCTCTGTAACAGTGAGAAATAAATATGTTGTTTAAAAGTCACCCAGTCTATGGATGACTACGGTATTCTGTTACAGCAGCCCAAAGAGAAAAGCACCACCATTTTAAAATCTTGGGAACATGACAAATTTGGACAAATAATTTAGGATTGTAGCCTAAAATCACTTAATATTTTATTTCCATTTCCATATAACATACATATCAACCCCACCCCTAATGAAATTAGAAAGGCACTACTTAATTTATTTTCACTTGTTAATTTTATTTTTAATTATAGTAAAATACATACAACATCAAATTTATCATCTTAACCATTTTTGAATGTGCAGTTCAGTAGTGTCCAATGCGTTCACATCATTGTGGCATGTGCCACGTTTAATTATATAAATGCAAGATTGTATTTTCCTCTGTAAAAATACCAAATAAAGGACACCTGGGTGGCTCAGTTGGTTAAGCATCCAACTCTTGATTTCAGCTCGGGTCATGATCTCACAGTTCTTTACTTTGAGTGAGAGAGAGAGAGAGAGAGAGAGAGAGAGAGAGAGACAGACAGACAGACAGACAGACCCAAGTAGGCTCCATGCACTGCCAAGGACTCTGTCTCTCTCTCTCCTCCTGTCTCTTCCCCCCTCTCTCTCTCTCTCTCTCTGTCCCTCCCCCACATGCTCTCTCTCATAAATAAATAAACATAAAAAAAAAAGAACAAATAAAAGCATTAAGAAATCTCTAGTCAAAGAGGGTAGATTCTTGCCTAAAGTACATGTAACAGCTATACAGGAACTGCCCTAAGGATATATGACTAATTACCTGGCAGCAGCTTCTACAGCTGAAGGCAAAACTATTAAATCACAGTAACTGGAGGGTGTTTTCTTCCAAAGGACAAGCACACCAAACTATATTTCTGGTGTTAAGAATCCCATGGGCTTCACACTTGACAGTGACAGCCAGTCGACTTTAAGAGAAAGGCACTACTTTAATGCAGCATAAATATCCCTTACAACTTTGGAAAAAATGTACTGTCAGTAACAAATGGATATACCATGACACTGTTCCCATTCCACGTGCAGCCAAACATCAGATCAAATATACATTCTTAAATCTGAAAGAAAATTATATAAGCTCAATTGTCACTCTGACTTAGCCACCTTTTAATGTGGACAGAATAGAACACTAAGACTTGCACAGAAGAATATATAGACCCGACCCTTCAGGGGCATAGGAGACAATATGAAACAATATATGAACTATTCAAAGTTAAGTCATACACTACACATAACTCTAAGATCTAAGGATATGCAGTTATAATTACATGGTTAAATAGGGTTATTTGGTAAGGCTTCCTTGAAGAAATCACAGATTAGTAGAGGAAGCTGGAGACAGACATGTCATGTCCATAAGCTCAGAGGAGTGGTGTGTAAGCCAAATGATGAAGTGTCTGAAGGGGTTTTAATTTAATACAATGAGGTTATTTAATACAACTAGGTTATTCCAGCAGTAAGATGCAGAGACCAGCAACAGTGACAACACTGGTATTAGCATTAGGTCATGATAGTGTGGGTCAGAACCAACAGAAATGGCGGGGGGCGGGGGGAGATGGATCTAAGAAATACTTAAGAATTAACTACATCCTAACACAGGGAAAACTATAGCATCTACTGTCTTCTACTGACCAGCTATTCTTAGTAAGTACCAACCACATTGTAACTATAGGAGTATATATTATTCCCTTCCTCACTATTTTCTTTTGCAAAATGCTTTTGACTATTTTTATCTGTTTATTCTTGTACACTGACATCAGAAAAAATTGGTAAAATTCTAAAATAAATCTTTTTGGAATTCTCAATTACAAGTCATTTGGCTTCTACAGTATTTCAGAAGATCTGACACATGTTTTCCCCCTTTGGGGGAGTGAAGTCCAGAGTTTTATTCATTTCATACATATTTAAATGTCAAAATACCTTAACCTGAAGCCATCCCTATCGCCTCCAAAAAAACAACAAACAAAAAACAAACAAAAAACCCCAAGCTTTATTCTTTTTTTACTACAAAGAAAAAGAGCAACTTACTGTATAAAATCCTAAATTTCTTAAGAGAGTTTTCATCAAAATTTCAGCCAGATGAGTGTCTGGATGGCAGCTCTGAGTGCCATAAGGTTGATCTGACAGGTTTCCATAGCCAGTACAAACAGAAGAGAGGTCAGCAGCATCAGAAGGTGAGCTATAGCCAAGTAAGGAAGCTACATGGGTATGATCTTGTAAACTTGTCAGAATGATATCCAGTTGCATTCTCTAAAGAAAAATATTTTCATCCATGAAATAGGTACAAATAGTTTAAAATGCATTTAAAAAGAAAAAAAATTCCATTTAATATCCTGATATTTTAGGAAGCATGTGTTTAAAAGAAAAGCTATGCCGGTGCCCAGATGACTCAGTCAGTTAAGTGTCCGACTCTTGATTTCAGCTCAGGTCATGATCCACTGTTCGGGTTCTGTTCTGGCAGTATGGAGCATACTTGGGATCCCCTCTCTTTCTCCCTGCCCCTTCCCTACTCATACTCTCTTATTCAAAAATAAAATAAAACTTAAAAAAATTTTAAAAAAGAAAAGCTATCCCATTAATACCATTTAAAAAATGTAACTAATAATATTTTATTCCTTTTTACAATAATACATAATACCCAAACTCTAAGCAAAATGATATTCTCTGCATAATGATTTTAGTTAGCACTTTAAGAAAAGGAAATGTTACCAGATAAATTATACTACACATTGTTCTACAGAATTATCAATGTAACTATTTATTCTAATATTTCAAATGAATCAACTGAAATCTAAACTAGTAAAAAATACTCACTGGAGTCATCGGTGGATTATATTGCCAGTAAGAACCACTTTTTCCCTGAAATCTACAACTCTACAATTGATTGTTCTACTTGGGTTGAGCAAAATGTACTTATTTTAATGTACATAATATTAATAATGTAATATTAAAAATGGAAAGAACAAGCACATTTATGTCCTCAAATATATTTTCACAGTCATCTTTTACTTTTTATATAAGCAATTTCACATAACATTCTGGGCATGGAACCAACAGTAGCACATGACCTTGATTTCAACTCAACACATTATAAAATGTCTCTGGCTTGACAATATAAGTAACAAATTTTGAAATTTTAATAACTAGCCCCAAATCATTTAATAAATTATCATTTGCTTCACCTTCATTAGAATTCTGGAAACTCTTCCAGCACAAAACATTAAATATTAGGATTTACTAGACCCATCAAGAATTATTCCATGAACACATGGCAACTGATTAGCTTTATTTCCCTCTATTTTTGTGTGTGTGATATTACTGGTTTACTCAGATACAGGGTAAAGGCTCACCTGTCCTTTAGATAAGCTTTCCCATCTATCAGGTCCTTGGGGCAAAAGAGAATGAAGTAACTCCATACGTTCTCGTAATGGCGGTAATAGCATGGTTGCTCCCACTGACAGAGTTTCAATTACCACCTAGTATCAAAAAAGAAAAGTGTATTTATTGACCTAGTCCTTATCTTTTTAAAAGAAATACATGAAAAATAAAATGAACTGATTATTAGGATCACAGAAGTCTAAAGAAAGTAGATCACAGAAGTCTGAAAAAGTGACATGAAAAAAGAAAGCATGCAAGTCCTTTAGAGGTCTTTAAGTAAACTAGGATACATATTTTGAATTTGCCACTAAGAGCTAATCATCATCCAACAAATATTTAGTATTGACTTTTTAGTTCAGGTCCTGGTAAGGATCTTTGCAAAGTGCTGTAGACACAAGTGAACAAGACAGACAAAAGCCTTGCTTTCATAAGCATACAGTCTAATGGGAAAGAGATCCTGAGCAAGTTTTTACAAGTGTGAAAGGAGTCACATAGGGAAAGTACAAACTTGAATCACACACACACGTAATTAACATGGCCGATGGGCTCATGGAAGGTCTCCCTGAGGATTAGCCATTTAGGTTAGATTTTTTTTTAAATTTTTTCTTAATGTTTATTTATTTTTGAGAGAGAGAGAGAGAGAGAGAGAGAGAGAGAGGGAGAGAAAACGCATGCACATGTGAGTGGAAGAGAGGCAGAGAGAGGGAGACAGAATCCAAAGTAGGCTCCAGGCTCTGAGCTGTCAGCACAGAGCCTGACTCAAGGCTCGAACCCGTGAGCTGTGAGATCATAACCTGAGCTAAAGTTGGACGCTTAATTGACTGAGCCACCCAGGCGCCCTGAGGTTAAGAATTTTAAAATGAGAAGAACTTAACCCAACAAATGTTCAGGTAGCTATAAAGAATAGCTACAGGGGCGCCTGGGTGGTTCAGTCGGTTAAGCGTCCGACTTCAGCTCATGTCGTGATCTCGTGGTCCATGAGTTCGAGCCCCGCGTCGGGCTCTGTGCTGACAGCTCAGAGCCTGCAGCCTGTTTCAGATTCTGTGTCTCCCTCTCTCTGTCCCTCCCCCATTCGTGCTCTGTCTCTCTCTGTCTCAAAAATAAAGGTTTAAAAAAAAATTTTTTTTTTAAAAAGAATAGCCACATTATCTTAGGCCTCATAATTTCTCAGGGCTATAGCTTCTGTATCAGTAAAATGAGGGTGTTGGACAAGAAAAAATAAACACTTGAAGATTAAGGGCTCTTATAAATTTAAAATACAAAAGAAATTTAGAAAACCTGACTAGAAGAGTTAGAATATAAAATTAAATTTCTCATAAAGTAGAGGGGGAAAAAATGGAAAACAGGAAAGAAAACCAAAGAAAAATTATGAGGACTTGTCCAGGATGTCTAGTAACCTAAATAATAAGGGGTTTCAGAGAGACAGAAAACAGTGAAGAGGAAATCAATACACAATATACTTCAAGATAATTTCTTAAAACCGAAGGCGATGAGTTTCAAAATTAAAAAGGTCCACCCAAGTATAAACCGATCCACATCAACTGAAATGTGAGAACACAAAGGACAAACAGAATTTGCTATAAAACCCATAGAAAAAACAGATTTCTATACAAAGGATAAAAATTTGAATGCATCTGTTTTCTGAACAATAACACTAAAAACTAGAAGGCAATGACTTCTACAAGAGAATGAATTCTTACAGGAAAATGATTTAGATCAGAATACTACACTCTCAACTATTCGTGAAAATATTCAACTCACAAACTACTTCATTTTGAGGACATTTTCAAAGAATATTTTTCCTATCTACCCTCTCTCAGAAGCTACTGACGGATATAGAAACCCAGCAGACAACGCCCTAACCAACTGACCAAGGTCAAAATCTCCAGTAGTAAGATACATCAGTACCATGAACCCCATGATGCGATGTACTAAGGACACATCATCATTTCTGTGGCATTGTCAAAAATGTATAACCTCAGTCCAATCATAAGAAAACATAAGAGATAGATATTCAATAAAATAACTGACCAATATTCAAAAATTGTCTAGGTCATGAAAGACAAGGAAAAAATGAGGAAAAAACAGTGCAGAAGACTAAGGAGAAACATCAACTCTAATATGGGATACTGAATGTGATTCCTGCAAAAGAATAAGGTCATTGGTGGGAAAATGATAAAATTTCTAATAAGCTGTTTAGGGTAATGAATAGTATTAAACCAATGTTATTTTCTTGGTTTTGATAATTGTATTGTGGTTATGTATGATATTAGCATGAAGCTAAGTGAGAAAACTACATTTTATGCAACTTTTCCTGAAGTCAACAAATGGCTCAAAATAAAGCATTTAAAAAGAAACAAAAAAGAGCAGCAACAGTGATTACTGCTACAAATGGATTAAGTTACTAGAAGTTTCAGAGATAAGGAACAGAAACAGGCCTGTACACATTCCGAGAGAATTCATCTCCTAAGGACTCTCCTAACAGAGTAGATACCAAGGACATTCAAGGAATAAATAAACAATTCTAAAGATAATTTTTTAACGTTTATTTTCCTTATTTTCTTCCAGTGATTTTTGACCTTTTAAAAATACTACACTACCTCATTTCTGATAAATATTAAAAACTCAAAGTTCCTATTCACCACCAGGTTAGTATTTCTTATACCTGCATGCCAGGGATATGTCTCTCAAGTTGAAAAATCGGTTATCTTTTTTGTTTTTTTTTTAAATTGACATCTGATTCACATGTCATAAAATTCACCTTTTTTTCAGTATAAAATTCAGTGGTTTTTAGTATATTCACAGAGTTGTACAACCATCACCCCTCTTCTAATTTTACGACATTTTCATCACCCCCAAAAGAAATTCTGTGTCTGTTAGCAGTCACTCCCCATCTCTCCCTCCCCCAAACCCCTAACAACCAACTGATTTGCTTTCTTTCTCTACGGATTTGCCTACTCTGTACATTTCATATTTATGGAATCATGTAATATGTGGCCTTTTGTGACTGGCTTCTTTCACTTAGCACAATGTTCACAAAGTTCAATCATGTTGTAGCATGTATCAGTACCTCTTTTTTACAGCTGAATAATATTACCCTCCATGGACATACCACATTTAGCTCATCCATTCATGAGTTGACAGACATTTGTTTATTCCCACTTTTTGGTTATTATGAGTAATATTGCTATGAACATTCCTGTAAAAGATTTGAGTGAAAATTCTTTTGGGTATAGACCTAGATGTGGAAATGCTACATTATATGGTAATTTAATGTTTATTTAAGGAACTATCTTCCGAAAGCAGCCGTCCCAATTTACATTTCCACCAGCAATTAGAGAGTTTCAATTTTTCCACATCCTCACCAATACTTACTTGCTATTGTCAGTCTTTCTGATTGTAGCCACTGAGTGGGTTTGAAGCAGTATTTCATTGTGATTTTGATTTGCATTCCCCTAATCACTAACACTGGTGAGCATTTTTTTTTCATGTGCTTATTGGCTATATGCATATTTTCTTTGAAAATGTGTCTACTCAAGATTCTTTGCTCATTTTTAAAGTTGGGTTACTAAAAAAAATTTTTTTTAAAAGTTGTGTTATTCATCCTTTTTACTGTTGAGTTGTAAGGATCCTTTATATGTTCTGGAAACTAGAGTATTATCAGACATATGATTTACAAATATTTCTCCCATTCTATGAGTTGTATGTCTGTTTTCTTGATAATATTCCTTTGAGGCATAAATGTTTTTCATTTTGATGAAGTCCAACTTCTCTCTTTTTTTTTTTTTTTTTTTTTTTTTTTTTTTTTTTTTTTTTTGGTTGCTTGTACTTTCAGTGTCATATCTAGGAAACTATTGGCTAATCCAAGGTCATAAAGATGATGGATGAGTTGATAAGCAAAATATGATATTTACGTACAAAAGAAGATTATTAAGCCTTAGAAAGGAAGGAAATTCTGACACAGGCTACAACATGGATGAACTCTGAGGACATTACACTAAGTGACATAAGCAGTCACAAAAAGACAAAGAGTAAATGATTCCACTTACGTTATATATTTAGAGTGTAAAAATCAAAGAGAAAGAAAGTAGAATGGTGGTTGCCAGAAGCTGGAGAGAGGGTGGAATGAAGATTTATTGTTTGGTGGGTGTAGAATTTCAATTTTATAAGATGAAAAAAATTACGAAAATGAATGATGATGGTGGTTGTATATTACAAAGGTATTTAACACCACTGAACTATATAATGAAAGATGGTTTATGAGCACTAGGGTGGCTCAGTAGGTTAAGCATCTGACTCTTGATTTGGGCTCAGGTCATGTTTCTCAGGGTCATGGGATCAAGCTCCACATTGGACTCTGAGCTGAGCAGAGAACCTACTTAGGATTCAATCTCTCTCACTCTCCCTTTCTCCCCCTCCCCTACCTCCGCCCCTTTCCCCCACTCACATGTTCCTTCTCTCTCAAATAAAAAAATAAATGGTTAAGATAGTAAAGTTTAAGTTGTATGTATTCTACCATAATAAAAAAATAAAACTGGGTCCTTGCCCTCAGAAATTCATCCTCTGGTAGAAAAGGAGCTGTATGTGAACAGACAATTCCAAAACATTGTGATGCAATGAAAACATATACAGGAGAAACCTAACCTGGCAGGAGAGCAGGGAATGAAAGGTTTCCCAAAGATAACATCTGACTTTTGTCTAAAGGATGAGTTAACCAAAAACATTTACTCCCACCAAGAAAATAGGAGTAAGGGAAAGAACATCCAATTGAATTTTTCCAATATATGACTGAATTTATGAGCAACAAGTTCAGGGAAAGATGTGTCTGGAGATACAGATTCCAAGTCCTATATGCTTACCTCTTGAATTTCATCTGGGACAGTTGAATCCATCAGTCTGAAGAGCAAATTTCGAAGTGGACCTGCCTGTCTCCCAAGAATGCTGGTAGCTACCCCTCCCGCAAGCGCAAGAGCAAGGTGATTTGAAAGCAGCTTCAGGCACAGCTTGAGGAAACTGTGGTGTTCCCTGAAACCAAATAAACTACTATGAACTTCTGACCTACAAAAGAACATGTTCTATCCAGTTTGGGTAACATTTTTTTTCTCTTTAAAAATTTTGTCAAATTATGAGCAATAGTGATTTTTAAAACATGATTTGTGAAATTATGGGTAATTTTTCTTAAAGGTTATTATCAGTAAGTACCTGAAGTTTAGCTCTTTTTTAGATTTTAAAGGAGTTTAATATAAATGAGGGCAAAATAGGACAAAAAGAATAAGTCAAAACTCAAAATGAGTAATAGGTGTAGGCATGCGCAGGCGTGTGGGCGCACACACGCGCGCACACACACACACACACACCTTATATACATATATATAACATACCTTGATGAAGGGAAAGGGAGTGGGGGAACCTCACTGTTTATTTTATCACAGTATCTCTCAAGGAAAGAACGCAGGTGTGAGAAGGTACTCTCTTCAAGATCTACACAATAAGGTCGGTGCCACGCAACAACTTGTCTAGAAGGAAGAAGAAAATCATGTAACAGACTTGACGGGAATTTTCACACATGACCAAAAACAAAATTTAAACCATTACTAAAGCTGAAAGATTTCAATAAGATATACAGAAGATCTTCTTGATTATGAAAGTTAAAACCCTTCACTTTAGCAACCAAGGAAAACCAAGCACTTGCCATCCCTAGAGTTCTTCAAGAAGAAAACATATAACCACAACCTGCTTTGGAAGGTTGGGTATTCACTCACTTAAAAGCAGAGGGCTGAGTCACATGACCTACTATAGGCTTCTAGTTCTAAGGGTCTACACAATGTATATTTCATATTAAGAAAAACAGCCTGACTCTATATAATGATAAATTGAAATCTATTAAAAGAACAACACCTAATGACTCTTGTGAAGACTGTCAGGATCTTGAGAACCAATTACCTACATATGAAGTGGAAAGTTGCAAATTTAATGTTAATAGCAAATTATTTATAATCAATTTATTATATCTTTAGCTTTTGTTTTGGAAGGTAATTATCTATAAATTTCTTAATTGGTTAGAATGTCCTAATAAACCCATCTGAATCAAAGGTCTAGAGTGAAAATATAATACATGTCAAGTTTAAATTAGCCCACATGCATAAGAAAATATGTATCTCAAATAACCCTAAAATTCCTTAAAATTCACACTAATACTGTCTAAAACTCACCTACCTGATTATCTAATAAGATACTGTTACCACTTCAGGAAAAAGCTAAATTCCTACAAAAGTAACTTCCTTTATTTAGAAGTACAGCCAGTTTCTTTTCAAAAACCAACCACATAAAGGCCACTGAGGCTAATCAACTGTTGAATAAAGCCTAGTTCTAATGTAAATTATTTTAATGGAACTTCCTCTTAATACGCGTTTAATTTTTAAAATCATTATCTAGAGACAGAGAAGGAATTCAAAATGTTTACAAGACACTTAAATTAAGAAAATATCTTGGGGCGCCTGGGTGGCGCAGTCGGTTAAGCGTCCAACTTCAGCCAGGTCACGATCTCGCAGTCCGTGAGTTCGAGCCCCGCGTCAGGCTCTGGGCTGATGGCTCAGAGCCTGGAGACTGTTTCCGATTCTGTGTCTCCCTCTCTCTGCCCCTCCCCCGTTCATGCTCTGTCTCTCTCTGTCCCAAATAAATAAACGTTGAAAAAAAAAAAAATTTTAAAAAGAAAATATCTTAAATACAGGGTATAAACTTCTTGCTTACATATCTAACCTCAACATTCAAATCAAAAGAACTCTAGATGTCATTGCTTTGATAGTAAAAATACCAATACTAGAAATGTTCAGAAGGTCATTTTTATGAACAGAGTATAATTATTTTTGCTTTTATTGGTGTTTCTGTCGTTATTAGAACACAAGCATTTTTAAACGTGGGCATTCTTACCTATCCCTAGGAAGAGCAGTCCATGCCAGACTATGTGAAGTTCCAGCAGAAATCTGCTGAATAGCTATGCCATCTAAGCCACTCACTTTCTTTGGTTTAGTAATAGGACCCGTGGAATTTCCTTGGCCACACTGCCCCATTGAATTATTGCCCCAGGCATAAACTTCATTATCTAAAAACAAAATGGAGAACACAAGAAAAGCCAAATTTAAATGTAATACATTTATAGAAGGTAACAGTTAATACTATTTCTTTTAAAAATAAGTAACATTACCATGAGAAAGAGCCAAACAATGACTGTCTCCAATAGAAATATCAACTATTCTTGTGGCAGCCAGTTCTTCAATAAGCTTGGGTCTCAAAGCAGTAGCTTCTGAAGAACCACAACCCAGACAAGCTCCACAGCCCCAAGCATAGACCTGAAACAAACAGAACAGCACTACATGTTACATCCTGCGTTACTAGGTCAAAGACTTACACTGTTTAAAAATAAATATCATCTATTAAACAAGAGTGTGGTTTGATACTAAATAATAACTTTATGTTGTTAAAAATAATATTTACTGACTTGTTAAGGATTTTCAGTCACTTATTGTGCTGTTTTTAAGTGTTTACTATATACACAGACAAGCAGCCAAACTGAAAAGAAAAATAACTGGTCACAGAAAAAATGGAAGGATCTTAGAAGAATCTTAGCTTAGAAGTACTGTTGCTATCTTACAACTTCTTCATATGTTTCTCACTCTGCAGGTCTCAATAAATATTTCTTGGTTGACTAGACCAAGCTATAAACATACAAAATGAATGATATAAATCACAAGACTGATGTTTATAATTTAGTTAAAAACCACCACACCTCATTGTTACAAGAATTTTAATGATCACTTACAAAGATGGCCATGTGAAGCAGGAGTCCACACAGTTCTCTTTGAACATCTGCATTTTTTTTTTTTTTTTGGCTAATTACTACAACAACCACTGACTGATTTAAGAAGCTTGGGGGAAAGGTGAGGTGACAAGGAAGATAAAAGGGTGAATGACTGCCAGTTTGGCAACCCCAAATCAAAACAATTAGCAAACTAAATGACCTTCTTTTCCCTTCGGTGGGTTGTGGTAATATCATAGAGACTTTAACCCTTACGCCACCAGGTTTGGGACTTTTTTTGTCTTGCAATTCTTTCAGTAAAGACTACTGAGAGATTAAACCTCTTAAACAAAAAATGAGCAGCAAATACTTGTACCAGTTGCTAGAAAACTACTTAAGACAAAGATAGAAAGAACAAAATTCCAGTACAATTAAAGGTATATCTTCGGAGGGGTTAAGAACTAAACACAAGTAAGATGAAAAAATATGTAGTCAAAGTCATTCTAAATCTCCTAAATCACTCAAGTACAATACAGTACTGTCAATAAGACACACATAGCTAGAGTTTGCTCTTGCCAAGTTACTTTGGCTGAACACCAGATAAAGAAACACTTGGCCTGTATTTAGGGACTCTGTTGTCTAAAAAATACATACTGTATTTTTCAACATAAGAATCACACTTAATATGATGGGAAGTCAGCAGTGAAGTGGCCTAAGAGGACTGAGGGAAAAGCAGATATCACCTCAGGCTTAGCAACTGTAACAGTAAACAGAAGTATCCTTGCCATTTAAAAGTATTTCTCTCTTATTTTATTTTTTCCTAAGTATATATATTTGATTTCACATAACTTCGTGTATTCATGATACAACTATTCTATCTCACAACTAACTTACAAGTTCCTTTGGATTTCAAGGTAATAAAATGTATTATCAACTAATAGCTGAATAGTACTTGATAATTTATACAAACTTTCAATAAACATAATTACCTTACCTGATCATTTGTAAGCAAAATGGAAATCATTAATCGTTTCATACAAAAGAACCACATGATGATCAAGGGAGGTCTGTGATTTGACTATGGCTATACACCAAACAAGCGAGCATCTGCTGTCTTCAATTCACAGATTCTTACCACAAAACCCGTAGTGACAAAAATGTGCAAGAGAAATTTCAGATTTTAAGGCAGCATCCAGCATTGTAACAAATGACTAATGTAATGAAATACAGGGTAATGAATAGTTCGATTTTTTAGGACACAGGCATTCTAGACCCTCAAAAAATAATTAAACTATATGCTAATTTCAACTTTGCTATTCATCTGTCTTGTGAATTAGTCACAAAACATTTTTATACCACTACGTGGCACATAATGGATTCTGACATGAGAGAAAATGAGTGGTCAGCTCACTTTTTCACTGTCACTGCTGATGGAATAAGAAGGAAATTATCATCAATCTATCACCATACGTGGACCCTCTCTAACACCAACAAAAACAGAAATCAAAATATGCATACAGAAGTTCAAAAGTTTATGTAAAGGTATTCTAAAGCTCTGACCACCTTAAGCCTGACACACCCTTTCTTACAAATACCTATCCCCTCAGATTATTTTCCACTTGGAAATTTCTCCTTACCCTCTCTACTGATCACCTTCTTGCCTTCTTAGTTCCTATCACTGGTTCCAACAAGATCTATTCGCACTTTCTCCCATTAACCATAATTTTTAGGAAAACGTTTAAGGGGTGCTGAGTGCTAAAAAGGTTTTATACAAAGAACAGGAGGCTGAGGGCAGGTTTATCTGGATCATACGGGACAGGTGAGAAAACCTGATTCCTTTGCAAATATTCCACCTCTTCAAACAGGAGAAAATATTTCATTTCAGTAGACTGCCTTTAAAATGTATTTTTTAACTTTAAAGTTTAATTATGATTATTACTTTTTAGTTACTTACTCCTCTGAAATAATTTAAGCTTTTTATGCTCATCCCTTAGTCCTACCTGCCCTGTTGATGTTAAAGCAAGTGAAGACTGGCTCCCAGCACAAACTTTGCGAATGAACATTCCTTGTAAAGCTTCAACAACTTTAGGTTTATACACTCTGTTAGTATCGCCATGGCCAAGTTTGCCTATTTAAAAAAAAACACACACACACACACATTCAAATTAAAAAATTTACTTGTTTTAAAGAACCTCTATTCTTTACCTAAGTATTTATTTTGACAAATATTGCTCATCTTTCCATCATGTACCTGACAGATGTGCAAAACTCTTAAGTTTCTGACAGCAGAATATGTGAACAAATGAATGTTTTTGTTACAAGATAGAAACCAACAACCAACAGGCTTCTGAATCTTAATTTCAAGTAATTAAAACAACTTTGAGAGACATGAAAAACTGTTTTTCTTTCTCCACTATGATGGTCATATTTCTAACTTCAAATTTGCTGATGTAATAAATACATTCTACACAAGATTGCGTATGTATCTATTATTAATTTTTGAACAGATCCAATAATTACTGAAATATAAGACTTGGCAAATCACTAAAGAAGAAAAACAAATGGCCAACAACAAATTCAACCTAAGAATCAAGGAAATACTAATTAAATGATACCATTTTCACTATTGAAATTATTTTTTAAATAATCTTAATACCCCATGGTTTGTTGTTGAAACATACGGGGAAATAAGCAATCTCACACTGCTGGTAGTTGTGAAAAAGTGGACAAAGATTTAGTTACTGTTGTGTAGTTTTGATCCAGGAGAATATTTGGAAACCACCCAGATACTCAACAATAATAAACTGATTTTTTTTTTTAAGTTGTGTTACAATCACATAAAAGAATACATTGAGCTATTTTGGGGCACCTGGGTGGCTTAGTCGGTTAAGCATCTGACTTCAGCTCAGGTCATGATCTCACGGTTTGTGAATTCAAGCCCTGCATCAGACTCTCTGCTGACAGCTTCAGATTCTGTGTCTCCCTCTCTCTGCCCCTCCCCCGTCTGTGTCTCCCTCTCTCTGCCCCTCCTCCGCTTACACCCTGTCTCTCTCTCAAAAATAAATAAACATTTTTAAAAAATACTGTTAGATAAAAACCAACAGGTTATAAAATACCTAAGGTATATATGAGTCTGCTTTGGTTTTCAAAAAAGACATCCATATGGAAATATATGTACATATTTAAATATATATCATTTAGAGGTCCAGCTATGACAGTTTTAACAACGGCTATAGCAACATTTCTTGAAACAGTTCATTTAAATTTCTGCTCATCTTAATATTGAGTTTTTCTACAATAGGCATGTACAACAGAAAAGTAAATTTTTTGAAATCTCAAGAAAACAAGCCCAAAGTTATCAATAAATAAATTTTTACATACCATTGTCTCCTCCTCCAAAAGACCATACAGTTCTCCCATCTTTAGACAAAGCAATAGTATGTGAACTGCCACAAGAAACCTCTCCTACGTTGCTAATGTCTTTCACTAATGTTGGAATGTTACGGCTATTACTGTCACCGTGACCTTGGATAAAACATATACAACAAAGAAATAATGTTAACTCTTTTTCTTTAGGCCATTACTTCACAGGTAGAATAAACATTTTAAGTTAATGACAGAAATGAGGTATTTTCAAAGTAAAATTAAATAAGAATCATTTCTAGTATCTTCTCATCTCATCTTCTAGGCTGCTCTCACACTGAGAGACCCAGTCCCTTCAGTGAATAATTAGAATATGCTATATGTGTTCCTCTCCCAACACTTGTCTAACGTTATTTAGGATCATGCTCATGTCAACTAGTTTTCACTACTAACTAGATTACACACTTCAGGATCATGATGGTATCTTTCTTACCCCTGAAAGTGTCTCACCCCTTAATCCTTCAGTGTCTGTTCATTATAGGTACGCAGTAAATGCCTGGTGGATTTAATTACAGCTTAAATTTCAGCACTAGAATCCAGGTATTCACTATATAAAAACTATCTTCCTCTGAGCTAAAACTAACAAAATAAATAACAATTTTTTTGCCTATTAAATCTAGTCTCACTACTTTTTAGGAACCATCATTTCTATTTTTCTATGAGAGTAACTGCAATTTTAAAAAATCTTACCTAATCTTCCAAAGTCTCCTTCACCCCATGTGTATAATTCACCATCCTCTGTGACAGCAGCACTATGTCTGTATCCAGCAGACACACAAACAACTACCTACACAGCACACAAAGCACACCAAGATGAAGAACATGAATATGCTAAAATATATAGTTCATACTTGATGTTATGCACAGAGACTTCAGAGATACTGATATTCACAACTTACCCAGAAGTTGCCATGTACAGCTGTAGAGGCTGTGCTCAGGACAAAAGTACCTGGGGTCAAGAAAGTGGTGAAATACAGCCTCTGCTGTTTCCCAGCCCATGAAACTTGCCTTCCACTCAGAGAAGGTAACTTTCCTTAATTCATGCAAAGGCACTGTAAAGGCTAGCAGGAGCCCTGAATATATTAATCTAATCACTTGCAAGGATATGATATCACACCAATCGAGTTTTTACTCAAAGAGTTGGCTGGGGCTGAATGCTCATGTACAATGAAAAAATTTTAAATATAATGTTAACATAAAACCTACAATCCTGGCTAATCAAGAAAAATTCATTACATAATAGGGATAACTCAAAAACACAGTGATTATTACCAATGCAGAAAGATCTAAGCAGTATATAAGCTTACATTAATTAAACTCCTAACACTATCTCTTTACCCTCAATTAGCTATATAGTTGATGAGTAGAATCAGGGGAATAAGATTATAAGCAACATAATTGGGGGATCACTATCATACCTTTTAACACTAGTCAAATAGTAATTTAACAGAAAAAATATACTAATTATTTGCATCTTTTCAATATTCAAAAATTTGAACTCACTTTAGAAAATTTAAAGTTTAGATTCAATTAAAAATACTGAGCACAGGGGCGCCTGGGTGGCGCAGTCGGTTAAGCGTCCGACTTCAGCCAGGTCACGATCTCGCCGTCCGTGAGTTCGAGCCCCGCGTCAGGCTCTGGGCTGATAGCTCAGAGCCTGGAGCCTGTTTCCGATTCTGTGTCTCCCTCTCTCTCTGCCCCTCCCCCGTTCATGCTATGTCTCTCTCTGTCCCAAAAATAAATAAACGTTGAAAAAAAAAATTAAAAAAAAAAAAAAAAAAAATACTGAGCACCTAATATATTCTAGACAATATGCTAAAACTTTTGAAATTTTTATCTGTAAAAGTAATTTACTTTTTGGAACATTTTTCCTTTATGATGTCCATACTAAGTTATGTTGGCAATGTTTCCACTGCAAAATGGGACATTAAAGGACATTAAAAGGAACAGAAGTAAAAATTTTTTACAGCATTAGAATTAAGGAAGAAAGAAGGTGCTGGAAAGACCAGAAAAATGCAACTTCAAGTAGTATTTGTCTGAAAATCTCCTTAGAGCTCCACATTCAATATCTTATCAAGTATCCCATTATGTTGTCAAGTAGAACATTCCAAGGCTCATTGCTTTGGGGTTGATGTCTAAGTTAAAATACTGAAAGTTATAATAAAGTAAAATTCATTTGATAGCCAACCTTGTCAGACAATCTCCTATGAAGTAAAAGTGCCCACTTGTAATTCTGGTATAAAATAAAAATTGAAACTTTAAAAGGATTTTATATAAAAAAAAACTTTTGTAGAAAGAATGCAATCTTAAAATGGAGGAATCCATATAATTGCATATAAGTTTAGGAAAATACCTTTAAGGAATACCTTTAAGGAAAATACCTTTAAGGAAAGGTAAAACAGAAATAAGAAGAGGAAGTCTAGGGGTGCCTGGGCGGCTCAGTCAGTTAAACAACTGACCTCGGCTCAGGTCATGACCTCACAGTCTGTGCTGATAGCACATTTTCTTTGTCTCCCCTCTCTCTGCCCCTCTCCCACTAGCTTGCTCCCACGCTATCTCAAAAGTAAGTAAACATTAAAAAAAAAAAAAAAGAAGAGGAGATCTAAGTTCAGTTTGTAATGGTGCTAATTATTTGTGTGTGACCTTAGGCAAGTTAGTTAACCACTCTAAAAGCCTCATTTAAGTTTCTATTAAAATGCCACCTCCTCTAACCTTACAACCTCATTATCTAATACCACACCCCACCCAAGTTAGTATCTACTACGTTACTCATTTTTTTCCCTACTATTATTTGAAATTATTTTATGTGCTTACTTATTTTTTATCTCTATCCACAGATTAAAGCTCCATGAGAGCAAGGATCTTGTCTGTTTTGTTCACTGCTGTTGTGTCAACTACCTAAAACACTGCCTGGCTCTTGGAAGGTACTAAACAAATATTTGCTGAATGGAGGATTCTCAGTTTCCTCATGTGAAATGAGAATAATAACTACCTTAACAAAGTTGTTGTAAGAATTAAAATTAAATACTGTATGTGAAAGTGTTTTGTAAACCATAAAGCAAACATACAAAAGATAAGCCAAAGGATTTGCGGGTAGAGTGCCACTTCAGAAAGAATACATCAAAATCTGAAAGATACCATCCTTATAGCACAGTGCATCTAATTATTTTTAAATACAAAAAGAAAGCACATACCTTTCCCTGCAGAGGGCCCTGAATAAGCTTAGGATATTTCTGTGTTGAACTATTTCCATGTCCCAGTTTCCCATAATCACCATCTCCCCAACTGAAGACTTCTCCTTCTGTTGTAAAAGCTAAAGTGTGACCATCAGATCCTTTAGAAGATGAAACCTTTTTAATGGACCTGTGAGGTTCAAATGTTAACTTCTTTAAAGTGGACTGATTATTAGAATCTCCAAGGCCCAGTCTTCCATAGCTGCCTTTACCACAAGCTCTGACAGAGCCATCCGTAGAAATAACAAAAGTGCAGTATTGCCCAGCTTCAATCTATAAGCAAACAAAGAGAATAATAAAATAAAATGCTTCTGTGAGAATCAAAGTATAATATTTGACGTTAGTTTTATCAAAGAGGTTCAAAGGAAGTCTTTAAAGTCAGAACTTGACATGAATCTCCAGAGAGATTAAACAGAAAATTAGGAAAACTATTACTGGCCTTTTTATGTTGACTTTATTGCTGAGCTCAAATTAATGTATATGTTATCTTTTCAGGGTATCTACCCAGTCATGGTTCACTAAAACAACACAGTAAAATGTTTTAGCCTCATCTTATAAAGGCTGGGTAAAGGGCAAGAAATAAAATTATCCTATAAATCCCTTAGAGTCCATTATGGTGAAAGACCATACACAGTATTTTACATTCATTCAAAAAAAAAAAACACATACATTTTAATGAAAATAATAATAAAATGGAAGATTCTAACTTAGCTTAAAGGTAGCCACAAATGAAAAAAGGTGTTAATAAGAAAATAAAATGCTGATTTGGCAAAGGGAAAATTCCAGTTTTTATTTAGTCCTATTTATTATTTGCATTGAATATAATGGTAAGTCTGTTGTCATTCATAATTCTTTTTAAAAATCCAGCTCCCAATTTAATTTTTTGAAACTTAGAAACAAAGTTAGGGAAATGGACTAAAAGTTTTTTTCTAGTAAAATGAAAAAAGTGATGCAATACAGTGTAGAAATGATATAGATAAGAAACAAGAATCTTCATCCACTTAAAAAAAGCCCTGAACACTATTTAAAGAGAACCCTGTCATCTACCAATCTGTAAAGTATGCAGAGAACTCACAGTTTGAGCATCAGAGAAACTGGGAGCCAGTTTGGGCTGTAGTATTTTCTCCTGTGTGCCTTCCACCAACTGATGGCTGCTATTGCTCCCCCAAACATAGACCTCACAGGTTTCTGAGACAATGGGAGTGTCACCAGTCTGAATGCTATCTGGGCTAGCACACGTTCTTGAGTAATCAGAAGCCATTCTGCAAACCTATTAAAATTAAAAACATGCAATACATAGGCAAGATATTTTTAATGGAAACATTTTTATAACTGTCACCTGAAATTACTGTTTACTTTCTTCTAAAACTCTCAACTGCTCAAATAACTTAAGAACAACACATCCAATTTTAAATACAGATGGACTACTGTAGACTACTCTGGAAAAGATACTAATAAAGGTGGCAAAAGTGGAGGAAGAGACACACAATCAAGACTTTTTTAGCTAAAAATTATATTATTGTACACACAGTACAGAAAATCAAAGCTTAAAAAACAAAGAAGTGGCTGGCTCAGTTGGTAGAGCATGCAACTCTTGACCTCAGGGTTGTGAGTTCAAACCCCACGCTGAACACAGAGCTTACTTTAGAAAGAAAGAATGAAAGAAAGAAAGAAAGAAAGAAGAAGAAAGAAAACACAATTGATAATCTTATCACCTTAAAACAATGAATGCTATCTATTTTAGGTATGTTTTCCCAGATTTTTGCATATACGTGTTCTTTAACATTGTTATCACAGTGCATATATAAAAGTAATGATACAAAAGTCATGCAAAATTTTCCATGTCTACCTAATCTTCATGATTGAAATGATAATTTCCCACCTAACATAAAAACACAATTTACTTAACCGTTTCTTTAAAAATTTTTTTTAACGTTTATTTATTTTTGAGACAGAGAGAGACAGAGCATGAACAGGGGAGGGTCAGAGAGAGAGGGAGACACAGAATCTGAAACAGGCTCCAGGCTCTGAGCAGTCAGCACAGAGTCCGACGCGGGGCTCGAACTCACGGACTGTGAGATCATGACCTGAGCCGAAGTCAGATGCGTAACCGACTGAGCCACCCAGGTGCCCCTTAACCCTTTCTTTTAAACAGGACATTTAGATTCTTTTTGTTATATAGAACATTTTAAGGAATGTAGTTTTTAATACATTTTTTTGTATTACTTCTTAAATAGAGAACCTCAGAAATGGGGCTACTATATCCCAAAAGGATAACAACCTTACAAATCTTGAAATATACTAGGTAACAAATTGCTTTCCAAAATGGTGCTACTTTATTATTTTATCACCAGCAATATATTCTATGTATAATAAAAATCACTGCTTATTTACAATCTGTGTTGAATACAATGGTAAAGTCTGTTGTCATTCATAATGCTTTTTAAAAATCTAGACTTCTTCACCTGCCGCCCCCCACAACCCACCAGAAGGATTGGACCCAGTGTGGCCATTTCAGTTGCCCTAACCACGGAATACATCTTTATGAGAGTACCAGTCTCACTGAATTGATACCAATATGTATGATTCTAATTTTTTTGCAAACTTAAGTGGGATAAAGGAGGATGCCTTATTTTAACTACACATTTCATTATTATCAATAGAACTAAAGTTTTTTTCATCTATTTGTTTACCACTAACTTCTGCCCATTTATTTTTTAGAGCTTAACGGACTTTCAACTGGCTTATATGAATTCTATACAATAAAAATACTAACCCTGGGGGCAGCTGGCTAGCTCAGTCTTTAGAGCATGCGACTCTGCCTCACATTGGGCAAAGAAATTACTTTTAAAAGGTGTATTAATTCTGACTGTAGCTGTTGCCAATTGTTCTGTCTAGTAGTTTTTTGCTCTAACAAAATAAAAGGAGGAAAACCTCCAAAAGTCAATCTTCAGAAGCCCATTAAATGGAAGGGGATAGAATAATTTTAGTCAGAATCATTAAATAGTATCCAAAACAAGAGAATGATATGTGTGGTAAATAAACATTTTCCAATGAACAAAAGGACAGTTTTGAGAACATACAAAATATGGGTAAGTGAAGGCTGCCAGTCCCTAATAAAAATCTGAAATTTTGCTGGAGACAAATGGAGAATGGTGGGGTCAAGAGTGTTAGAATTTTTTTTAAGTTTATTTAATTTTTTTTTGGGGGGGGGTGGTGGGGAGAGGGAAAGAAAGCACAAGTGAGGGAGGGGCAGGGATAGAGGGAGAGAGAAAATCCCAAGCAGGCTCTACACTGTCAGTGAACCTGTGAGATCATGACCTGAGCTGAAATCAAGAGTCAGATGCTTAACTGACTAAGCCACCCAGGCACCCCATGTGTTAGAATTTTTAATATAAAAATCTATTGCTATTAATAGGTTTTATAAAAAAGTCACAGCTCTCCTCCCCCCACAACCCCCAAAAAGAGCGAGATAG